ACACCATCACCAGCACCAGCGCCAGCACCATCACTGTCAACCGTCAACCGTCAATCGTCAACCGTCAATCGTCAACCGTCAATCGTCAACCGCGACCACCGCGACCACCGCGACCGCCGCGACCGCCGCGACCGCCACCACCCCCACCAGCACCAGCACCAGCACCAGCACCAGCACCAGCACCTGCACCTGCACCTGCACCTGCACCAGCACCAGCACCAGCACCAGCACCAGCACCTGCAGCAGCACCTGCAGCGGCAACGACGACAACGACAACGACGACGACAACGACAACGACAACAACAACAGCAACAACAACAACAACAGCAGCAGCAACAACAACAACAACAAGAAGCAAAACCAATACAACGACAACAGCAACGACAACGACAACAAGCACCGAAGAACAACCACAACAACCACAACAACCACAACAACCACAGCAACCACAACAACAACAACAACAACAACAACAACAACAACAACAACAACAACAAGCAAAACCAATACAACGACAACAACAACAACAACAACAACAGCAACAGCAACAGCAACAGCAACAACAACACCCACAACAACCACAACCACAACCACAACCACAACCACAACCACAACCACCACCACAAACACAAACACCACCACAACCACCACCACCACAAACACCACGACGACCACGTTGACCACGACGACGCAGGCGGCGACGACGAAGACGACGAAGACGACGACCACGGCAATGACGACATCAACGACAGTAGCAGTAGCAGTAACAGCGACAGCATGAACAATTGTGTTGGAAATGATCAGTTGGACCACTGTGTGATGTATTTTCTCTTTTCTCTTTAAACAAATAATGTTCATCACTTTCTTTGCTCTCTGAATCTGTCCTCCCACAGTCTCTTGCCAAGATCATACAGGACGGAATGCATGCAGTCAGCTGGGAGCACGCGGGCAAACTTCTTCAGGTCATCCTCGTCCATGCCCCGCATGTTGAAGATCGAATTGTCGCTGCTGCGCAAGGCAGCCAAAACATCAGTCCAGTCAGAAACGTAGGTAGCCATGTCTGTCAGTTTCTTGGCCACGGTCTCGACGTCAGGGTCGGGCAATTGTTCCTCCAAAGTGCTGTGAACATCAAAGGCAATCTGCAAACGCTTTTCGATGTCCTTGCCTTTCAAGGACCCCTGCCAGAATGCCAAGGGAGAAAAGCCTTGCAGTGCTGACATGCATGCCTCGGCACTCTGCAGCGCCCCAGCCACATCCGCTGAAGCCTTTCGCTTCTGCGAAGAGGCGCCCGAACGATTGGCATTGCTGCCGCCTGAAGTGCGCACAGGCGGATCTTGAGGACCCTTCTTTTTGTGACGCTTCAAAGGCGGCTCCGGCTCCTCCTTCACGGGCTTGAACCCGATGCCAGTGTCTTCATCGGAATCCATGGCTTCATCAGGGTGATGAACAACCTGCTCCTCTTCAACGGGAGCGTCCACGGCCCTTGCCAACATCTCCCGGTGAGCCGCCTGCCGGGAACCAGGGGGACTTCAACGGAATGCTAATGTGGGGTCTGTATGTAAGTAAATGCAGTCTTATACTTATAATTTATAATGCATGGTCCGCATGGTCTGTAAGAACTTGGATACTGTGTGTAAGGACCCTTGGATGTATGTTATATTGCATTCCCATGTACGATTCTGTATGGTACCATTGGACCGACGTCGGCGTCCTCCATTTGTATCTTCGTATGAATTGAATTACTTGGCACAGGCTGCGGCACAGGTGGACAAACAATGCGTTCCTTGGTCATGAATCATGGATACTCAGGAACCATCTGGCTACACAAAAACCTTGGGCTACTAAAGTGTGAAACCATCAAACAGCGTATAGAGAGTTGTCCTGGTCAGTCTCATGAATTTGAGAAACCATGCCATGGTTTGACCTGATGCTGCATGCGCACTAGACTCACTAGATCATTAGATCTGTTTACTGTGGTCGAGTTTGATTTCTCTCATATGTAAAGAGTGGTCCCATTATCCCAGCCTCGTCATTGCCGCTAACCTGTGTGACGTCAGCCTCACGCTGGAAAGCCTCTCGCATTTGCCCAGCGCTCTCGTGCTCGGACTGCCGGGACTTGCTGGCAGAGATCTTGCCTCCAACGTGGACCTTCTTGACCCCGTCGTTGGGCAAGATGAGGACGCCTTCGGCACCAGTCTCATCCTGCCAAGTGGGGCAAAAAACACTAGTGAAACCAAGTGAAAAAATGATCCAACTAGACAATAAACAATCTAAAATATTTGGTTAAGCGGATATGATATATTATGTTATTTCATGTCGTAATAAAGTATATCAGATTTAAAATCACCTTGCGAGTGGCAAAGACTTTTGAAACAATCAAGTTAGATCCAAGACCAAACACATGTAATTAAACAAGGGATGCCCGAAAAAAAATGAATTGACAACTGGAGCCCTGTCCGGGTGCAGAGCCAGGCCAACCTCCTTGGCGCAACACAGGCCAGAGATCAAGTAGGATTACAAATGATAAACCAGGTCTTGAACGTACAATGATCATTTATTGTCGTTGTTGCTGTCGGAAAGAAAACCAATGTCAATGTTGCGTATCATCGCCCATCGCACATAGAAAATAAAGAGGATGTCCAGGATGATACTAAATGACTCAAGGGTACGGATCCTGATGCCAACTTTTCCAACTCCTGTTTACGGAATGACCATGGCGAACCATTGTGAACCCAGAGTTGAAAATTGAAGTGGTATTACGTGCGTCAAAAAATGAACAGAAAACATGTTCCTTGAGCCCTCCCTGCCAAATTCAACCCTAATGCGGCGAAGTCTCTTTGGTGATCCAAGCCTTCTTGGCCGCCAAAGTCTTCCTTTTGGCCTTGATGTGATCTGGGGCATGCTTCTCGAAGTAAGCTGGAATCGACATCCAATCTCCCTCCTGGTTTTGAGACATCCCAACAACGCAGAGGGAAAAATCAGAGGAACCAAAAGCTTTGGGATTGAACGTGACTGAGCCCCAGGACGCATGCTTGCCACGACCGACCACCATCATCAATATAATTGTTCAACTCATTTTTCCTTTGTTATCATGCACTAGTGCCAGTTCGCGTTCTTCTCATCGTCATCATCGTCATCATCGTCATCGTCAATGTCATCGTCATCATCATCAACGTCATCATGGCCCAGAGAATTTTGACAATCATGTGCTTGCGCTGAGAAGTTGTTAGCCTTTGGGCTAGCTGTTTTTTTGCGATATGGCCACGTCCCATCCCTTGGATCGGTAACTAGGAGATTGTGGTTGAAATCCTCTAGTGGTTGCAGCAGAAGCATGATCAGGATTTAAAATTGTGCTCATTGAGTCATTGACGGACTGACTTTGTGTTTTCATGGATATCTTATCGACTCTCGAACCTTTAGCAATATATGATGCATGGCTAATATCGGGAAGTCAAACCCGAAGCAGTCCTGGAAGAAGTTCACGTATTTGCTCTCTTTCTGAGTCGTATACAAAGCCACATTAATGGCCTCATGTCTGGGCCTGCTCTTGGGGTTCAAACACGTTTGGTGAACGTGTTTCCGACGGAGGCTCCTGAACCTTAGTTTCAGGATGGCTGTAGCTTTGATTCAGTTGGTAAAGTTGTGGGCCCAAACTGTCCTTGCCAAACCAAGTGAATCAATTCCCACTTACTGCCGTATCAACTTCCCAATTAGCACTCCTTCCTGTGTGGATTGACATGATGACGTGAAAGATCTCCCTTGGTCTTGTCCCTAGCTTGGGAAATGTCCTATAACTAAGCGTATCCCGTTCCAATCAAGATAAGTCTGCATGTGGGTTTTACAAATTCTCTCGAACAGACTGCTGAGAAAAGCAACCAAGAAACTTGTCTTTCAACGAGCCGTTTTCCTTCAACAGAATGGCAAACTCTTGAAGACGGAGACCTCCAAAGCTGCCTCTCTTAATGTAGTAACATTTAAGGCACAGCCCTGCCTTTCCGTCATTCTTGCAGCTTTGCACATGTAGGCTGTGCCCACTTGGCGAGTCCTGGGCAGGGAAGGGTTAAGATGGGTTGATTAGACACCTAAGTAAAACATATTTTACTTGACCAACAGTGTGCCAAGGGTTGATTCCCGCAAACTTGAGTTTAGACATGTTTTCCCGGTCATGTGAGGCTCTTCGTGTTGCATCTTTAGGATCTGCTGAAAACCGTTGATCACGTGAAGTTGAATTTCATTAAGAATATTGGAACCCTTGATGTTGGTGATGTTTGAATTTGATGTTGCATCACTAGTACTAGTTCAAGATATTGAATGTTCAAGCCTGGTCGTTCTCTCCAAAGGTCTGGGAGCATGCCATGCACTGGCCATCGGGAAACAGCGTAGGGTCAATCTGATCCTCCTGCTGGGGAGCCACGCCCTCAACCACCGCCATTCTCACAAGACCACGTTGGTGGTGCCAAGGTCAGCTCGAAGCAAGGCAAAGCGTCTCAAAGGCAACACCCTTTACAAGATAGAGCCATTGGCAAGTGGCCACAGAATCGCAAGTTCAAGCCAGCAGCAACCCCCCAAAACAAGCAGGGCATCTGCAATGCGTGGTTGGAACCCAGCAAATTCAAGCTAGGGCAGGGGAAAGTCACAAGGTTTCTACGAAACCGTCACGTCAAGCCAATCAAGTGAAAAGTTAGGGTCAAGTATCACGACAGGAATGCACATGAGAATCAGAAGGGTAAATTTCCCAATTTTCTCTTCTAAGCCAAATCTTCTCTCGTTTGCATTCATGTAAGCGATTGCTTTCAGACCAAGCCTTGACCAGCCCATTCCCTAAGGGCCAATCCGGCTGTGGCAACACTAAGACAGCAAGCAGCAAACATAAAACAGTCAGCTGGACAATGAATTGAAACGTCCAACTTACTAGCTTTGCAGCATTTCAGCATGCCAAGCCACCAAGCGATGAGTTTAAAAAAAACTCAAGTAGTGGCAGCAGTGGTTCAAAATCAAAACTATGATCGGGCAAAAGCAGAGCAGTCAGTCGTCAGACTTCAGAGCCCAGCGGCGTTTGGCCCCCCCAGAAGGGACCACAATCCAATCCTCTGAGTCTGGATGCCAAGGAGCAAGTGTGTCTTGCGTTTGTTGCCGAACCTGGTGGCCAAATCGCAAAGGCGCTCCCTTAGCCTCATCTTCATCACTTCCACTTTGGTACGACTCAAGGCTCCTTCGGGCCACCCTTTGCACAAGTCCCGGAACCAACGTAGGAGTGCCCAAAGTCACTGGCACTGGTGGTAGCAGCTCCTCCACATTCTGCAGTGAAAGCAATGGCCGGTCTCCAAAGCCAACTGGCAAGATCGCAGCAACCACCATGAAAAAGATGCTCCCTGCCACGGGCACGCTCCAGCTGTCACCTGAGGTCAGGAAGCAAACCCTGCATTTCTTTATGCGATGTTTTCATCAATGTATGTCAGAAGCATTTGATTGGAGAATGAGTTTAGAGTCTAGAGGGAATAGTCAAGTAGTTAGAAAAAGACAATTGTGGCCCCGTGGAAATGCCTAGCCCTATTCCCAAGGCTTAAAACGGGAACCCTGAACAACACGTTCAAAAACTAGTGTTTTTTCAGCTTGTCCTAGTCCTGTTAGCCACAAAATATCCAACAGACAAAAACACCAAGAGACCAAGGACAGTTAATGGCTCAGCGTTTCCGTTCTTGCAAACCTGACGCCTTGACTGGTGATGCTCAATAGTTTTCTTTATCATTCCTTTGTGTGAAGCAAAGCACTGATAAACTGAAAGAGGAAATTGCGCGTGTTTGTTGGACAATGTGCTTGGTATTGCTTGGTTGTAAATGCGGCGAGTGGCCAGCAAGGCGGTTCATGTCAGTGTAGCATGTGCTCTCCAGGTTGATCTTGGTAATGTCAAACCCTTGGTGGATCAGCAGCTCCTTCGGCATTGGCAAGGGACCGGGATACCGAACATGTTCTAACCAGAACCAAACTCATGTCACGTGCAGAACCTGGAAACAAGGACTTTGACAAGTGCAATGGACATGGCATCAAGTGATGGCATCAAGGTAAAAGTCTCGCACTTGTGCGTAAGATTGAGGGGATCATGACTTCTATTATTGCTTTGTGCACACACTTGAACACCCAATCAATGAGAATCACATCATGCTGACTAATGACAATGCAAGAGCTCATCATGTCAAGCTAAGTCAAACATACCATGGAACAAACTAAAACTGTCTGTATGAATCGAGACATCAGATCATATAACACAGAGGATGAGTTGTTCAGGTCACATTGTATGACTGCATCGAAACTTGGATTTCGTTGCATAGCATTGCCTTCTGAAATAGCCATTGAAAGTCTAAGCCCCTTACCTTCAAGTCATATAGATGTTCGCCCACGAAGCATCGTTACACACATGTTAATCTTGCCCTGCATACCCCATACCAGTTAAACAATGTCATCTAAAAGAAGTTTTGACAAGCAAACATGTTCACCTTTGTTTTACTTATGCCCATTCTATGACAAAGGTAGTCTTTGGCTGCGTCCTCTCCAGTCACGAAAGCTCGATGCCCAAAGCTCCACAGCTTCACGTTGGTCGTGATAGCGGAGAAACACCCGTTCATGCCAATATGCTTCCGGCCAACGCTTCCTGAAAGTCAGGGAGCGAAACCCCCGCAAAACTTCCAATTGCCACGGAACAATACCGTAAACATGATGTAAAGCTCAAACACAAAATCATTGGATTCAAGATTTGGTGGTGGAACTTTAGGGTTATTCAGTTATTCATACATTTACATCATATACATTGTAATATGGAATCGGTATGAGGATCCTTGGGATTTTGCCAAGGGATTTCTCCTATCATAGAATGGAAGAACCTCAGAGACAATACTGATTTCTTCACCTGGTAGTGGCTTCTGAAAATCCCTCAATCCCGGGAAAGGTGTTGCTAATCATAGAAGCGTTTTCACATAGGCACTGAGGTGCGGACTTGCCAAGTCAGTAGTGCACCAGGTTTCCACGGGTGAAATACCCTTTGCCTCAGATTCAAAACAAGTCTTGCTGCCGTGGAAGTCTACAGACTTATTCTTTGGACTGCTGTGTGTATGGCTGGGTCAGAAGCGAAGAAATCCTTGTTTCTCAGACTGTCTCACTACACCACAGTTGTCTAAAGACTCTTACAAGTCAGTCATACACGACAAAAGTCGCCACGCATGTAAACAACATAGTATATATGTACAACACACGTGCCGCATGCAGCCGCATGCCTTTAAGAAAGAAACCATACAGTCAGTCATAAAAGGGGTATACGGTATGACTGTATTCGTACGAAGCAAGTGATGATAAGTTTCGATATGATTCGATTCTGCTTGTTTCATTGTGGTACTGCTACCACTCTAATATACTTGTAGCATACCGCCCCGTATAGGATCAATATCTTTAAACCGATCCTGAATCCTAACTGCCTAACTTCGCTTTTTTTTTTCGTGGCTTTGGTTTGAACTTAATGACGCAGCAGTGGCAGTCTAAAACCACCAAGGGTTCACTTTAAGATGATCTGAGTTAGAACTCAGAAATGTGTAAAAAAAACATGCGTTAAGATAAACATAGATAAACCAACCATCATATAACCATGGACCATATAACATATATCATATACTTGCTGTTTATAAATAGTTCAGAACGGTTCGGAACGGTTCCGAACTATTTATAACCGCTTCTGTTTAAAAATAGTTCAGAACGGTTCGGAACGGTTCCGAACTATATATACATCCGTTTTTATAAATAGTTCAGAACGGTTCGGAACGGTTCCGAACTATATTACATCCGTTTTTATAAATAGTTCAGAACGGTTCGGAACGGTTCCGAACTGTTTATAAATAGTTCAGAACGGTTCGGAACGGTTCCGAACTATATATACATCCGTTTTTATAAATAGTTCAGAACGGTTTGGAACGGTTCCGAACTATATATACATCCGTTTTTATATATAGTTCAGAACGGTTCGGAACGGTTCCGAACTATATATAAACTCGGAACTATTTGGAACTATTTGAAACTAATTGGAACTAAATTGGTTTTTTCGTATATATAGTTCAGAACGGTTCGGAACGGTTCCGAACTATATATAAAATGTGACGTATATATAGTTCAGAACGGTTCGGAACGGTTCCGAACTATATATAAAATGTGACGTATATATAGTTCAGAACGGTTCGGAACGGTTCCGAACTATTTATAAACCCTGTACGTATAAATAGTTCAGAACGGTTCGGAACGGTTCCGAACTATATATAAAACCCGTAAACTACAAAGAGTTATAAATAGTTCAGAACGGTTCGGAACGGTTCCGATCTATTTATAAACCTGTGCCCTTTCAAACTTCTTTTGCTAGGTCGTTTCAATTCTGTATTTTTAAGTTGTTATTGAATATAGATATCGGAAGTCTGACATGTTATGGACATGGAATGATTTTGGATACCTTACCTCAGTGGTACATGTTTTGACATGTCATATAGTCATATAGTCATATATGTCATTTGTTGGACACAGCTGAGAAACAATCAACGAAGCATATTGGATGTCCAAACTCTCCATCTCCCGTCGGTTCATCAGGTACCGCTCAGCCTCCGTGAGCTGGGTCTGCGAGTAGGACAGCATTTGGCCAGTAGTCAGCCCAAACTTGTCCCGGCACTGCTTGACGAAGCATGTCCGCTCAAGGGATGACGTTTTCCCGTCCTGGGCAATCGATCTGGGAGGAGGGCAAACATTTGGGGATGCCAGCAACCCTTTTTGGGGTGGGTCCGCCGGGGTGGTTGACAAATAGTTCCTTGATTTTTATAAATAGTTCCTGGGTTTTTATAAATAGTTCCTGGAATTTTAAAAATAGTTCCTGGCTTTTTGGCAATCATAGCGAATAGAAAACCTCCAAAACCCTGCCGCCCGAAATGGTGGCGCACTGTTTCGGGCCAATCCCGAAAACCGGAAATCCCCACCGGCCCAAAGACTATAGGTTGCAGCCCAAAGACTCTCGATCTCACCGGCTGCTTGAACTCATGGCCGGAACCCCACGCGACTGTCGCGGCAATCTCTGCGTAGGACCTGACGTTGGCCACGGTCTCTCTCTGAGGAAATGCCTGAGGCAGAACCTCCTCAATGCAACGGATGATAGCATCGAGGTGAGGCTCACTAGACACCAGGTCTTGTCGAACCATCAGCACATATACTCGGTTTCGGCTTTGCGGCATTCCGTAGTTCGATGAACTTGGATCGTGGCAATTCTTGGAAGGTTTGACAGACTGACACTAAAATGTCTTTGCCTTTTAGTAAAGACGCAGATAGTCTTATTCATTTTGAAGTCAGACTGCTTTTTACAAGCCTGTCACTCATGCTGACCCTGACATATAGTGCTCACATGGATTCACCCCAAGTTTTCAACGCATCAAAATGTGTCGCGTTCGGGAATTTGTTGAAATTAATGTGTGAGCCCTTGGTGCCTCAACTATTAAAAGCACAAGTGGTTTAGCCGCGAGACTTGTTACTTTAAGGCATGAGTTACATCAAACCCGACAAAAGGTCGGCAGTAAACTGTCTAAGCTGAAAAACTCATTGACATGGCATCATGCCGACATGCGTCTACTGAAGCCAAGCTGCTCCAGTTTCAGCTCCCGAAGAAAATACCCGTCAATCAGCTCCAAGCCAATGGGCTCACTGCCAAGGTAGCCACGAAGCATAAAGTCGATTGGGGCCTCTCCAGCGGATGAGATGGCAAGAAACGGGAAACTTGTTGGCCACAGTCTTCCGAAACACATATTACTGCTATGAACCTGTTGCGACATTTTTTGTTCAGTGGTTCAAATTCAAAACATGATCATCTAATATCACAATCCGTATCGGGACGAAACAAACCAATGTGCCAATTATAGATCATATAATAATCATATACACTTTTTTTATTATTATGTATATAGTATATAGTTATAGTCCATGATGTACGTGTTCCATGATCTGCGGTCATAAGAAGTTGTGTCCGACTGGTGTGCGGTGTGGAGACGTGATGTACTTGTGGGGTTGTAAATCGACGTGCTGTTTCCTTACGGTTGCAGCATTTAAGTTGGCAGTCGTGCTCATGCTTTCATGCATGCTTACATATCGCCCGCCAGATGTATGTATCTAAGTATGTATGTCTGTCTGTATGTATGTACGTATGTATGTATGTATGTCTGAATGTATGCATGTATGCATGTATGTATGTTTGTATGTATGTTACTGTATGTTTGTATTTATGCATGGATGTATGTATGTATGCGTTCAAGTGTGTATGCTGTATGTGTGCATTGAATTTATGTACGCATGTCTTGCGTCTTATGTACATTGTATGTGTTTTTATGTTACTGTGTGTTTGCATTAATGAATGCATGCGGCATGCCTGTAGGCATGCTGATGACCTAAAACAGTGAGTGATCTAAAACAGGTGGGGACCGCGAAGTAAGCTGATTGATACAATATGGTGTGATTTGAAATACATTACTACTGGCTTATGCCTCATTTGTCACATGTTCAATAGGCCTTTGTTATCAACAGCACTTCCATCATGTTTCAAGTCATGTCATCTTTTTACACCATATGGAACCAGAACCTTGATAAACATGAAAGGAACCACAATCTGCTCATTTATTTGCTGGATAACTAAATTTCAATTATCTGGCGCATTGGCTGCACCGCCCCGCTCTTTGCACGGACTACAGCCTGCACACATGTCATGTCATACACCCCGCCACTGTGATATTAAATATTAATTATATACTACCCCGTGGCCCTAGTTGGTAGGTATCCTACTTTCCGTCCATGAACCCCGCCCAACACGGCCCGCTGTTCTGCAAGCGGTTTTTTCAGCTTTCGGCTGCGCACAGCATGCCTTTTACACAATTACATGGGGTTGGATTTCAAGAGGTCCAGAATTTTTTTTTGCCTCTGATGCGACTGGCTGAAACAAATGTGGATGTGTGTTCCCGTCCTCAACTATTGCTTTCAATCGCTCTGTGGCACGCTTTACAAGGCCCGTGTCCTTGACCAGCGGGTATACACAGTAACTGTGCACCCAAGCCAGGGGACGCGTGGTAGAAAAATACCAGCTGAACCTGACGGAATTGATTGGAATAGTTTTTTTGCACTTGTAGCAAATGGCTCGGCCTGTAGCTGCTAAACTGCCTTCATCCAAACCGCATTCTTTGGAAAAAAAAGTTGACTGCTGACTTGGACGGCTGGGTGCTGCTGCAAAGCTTTGCTGCAGTGTTTGTGCTTTCTGTTCCTGCTGGTCATCAGCGGCTTCAATCTCCCTAGCAACTTCTCTAACACTAGCATGTTCTTGCTTCACAACATTGGACAAGGGAAGGGCCTGTTCCTCCTCAACTTCAGCCATGTCCACAGCGTCTTTGATCGTTTCAGAAGAGGAACTGTTGGATTCCGAATCACTTGAACTTGAGCTAATGACAATAGGGCCAGGGTCATTCTTTTTAGCTTGTGGTTTCTTGAACTTCCCCATGTTCTTCAGTGATTTCTTTTTTTTTCTCTGTGGCCCATGTTCTTGCACCTTCCTGGTCTTTCGATATCGCTTGTCCAAAGAGAAGGGCAATTTCACAACCACCGGCTTGTTCTTTAAAGCTCTCTTGCTGGAAATTTTGAAAGTGCACTGCAGGCTGTCAGGATTGGTCTTCAGGGCGTTATTGTCGCCACTGTCCAGAAACGCGCTGCAAGTCCAAACATCAACATCAATCTCCACAGTCTCGGTGGGACTTCCAGAATGCTCTTCCAGAAGGTTCCAGAAGAGCTGATGAGAAGATTTAAACTGAATGGACCCTCCATCCTCCGAAAATTTTACCTCTTCGTGGTTGAGCGTGGCAAGGACGAAGGTATGTGACATTGGTTTTTTCATTGAAACACCCAGAATCACTGGAACCGAAACATGTGGCTTGTCACTCAAGGAAAACAACAGCATGGACCCTGCGTCCACATCGTGTTCTTGCAATGCCCATGATAAAGACTTCACAAGCTGTTCTGCTCGTGCAAGGCTGGGGTTCCCTCGGCACGCAAAATGAAAACATGGAGACTCGTGAACATCAGGCACGTGGTCCGGCCGCAATACTTCCAAAGGTTTGTGCAACGTGTTGTCGAGCTTCTTCTCGATATCCTGGTCAGAGAGGTCCATGTTAATTGCGGTAGCTTTCAATGCTCCATTACCTTGGCTGCGCAGTTTCCTCAAAAAAATGAGCTCATTCAACTTAACAGGAAGAAAACATAGCGGGTCTGGAGTCCAGAGCCCGTAGTTGCAACATTTGCTGAAGGCGCTACAAACACATACAACATACCATACCCCAGGCCCAAATGATACTGATCGCCAACGATGAATGATTCGATGTTAGAAGTTCGCTGTGACTCATGTGTGCTGTCTAACCCGGCCCAAAGTCGTGTTGTTTTTTGCGTCCAACCGTAGGACAACCCAGGAGAACACTAGAAAGAAAGTGACTTAACTATGAGTCAGCACAGTCCAGTCCGAAACAGTCAGGCCTCGGTCTCAGTGCGGTCTCTGCTGTTTTTATAGTACAAAACGACTTCATATAATGACATATACGTAGCGACAATATGATATAAAAGCTGAGAAATCAAATCAGGAAACGGACACGGTGTTTATTCGAGCGGCTGTCACCAAAGCAAGTTGGAAGGGACCAAATAGAATGCTGCTCGAACAGTTTCTCATTTAGTTTGAGCCTTCTGGCAGCCAACTTTTTGCAACAGTTCCGACCGACCTTCCTTTCAAGTTCTGTTGGTATTCTGGCAGAGGTTCCAACTGATAACGGGATAAAAGCCAACTTTGCCCGAAGTTCTTGTTGGTGCTGAGCTTCAACCTCGAAACCTTGTTTGTCATCTAAGGGCAGCTGATCCCATTCTCTGCTAATCAATTTTATTTTCTTTGAATATTCCTCTGTGCTAAATGCACCCCCTTCCAACTGCTGTTTCTGAAACACGTTCCAACCGGAAAGTTTTCGAAGTTTTCGTTTTGAAGCCTTCTGAAGTCTTTCAGCTCTCATCGCTGATGATTCCAAAATGGGTCGCGACCGTCCAGGACACCGTCCATCCTTGGCACAGCAGAAACTGCAAGGGTTAAGGGCTGGTGAGCATGGAGAAAAGATAAAACAAAACAAAGCTGTTTTCTCTGATTTCCAACTTAAGACCTAGCCTTTCCTTGGAGGATGAAACATGCGTGGGCAAAAAAATCCTCAGATCATGTCTTCTTCAAGGAGTCAGAATTGCGAAGGCTGTGTTGGTTGCAGCTTCTAATCCCACTGAGACGCCGGATGCCACTGGCCACTGCCTTGCTGGGGAGAGTCTTGTCACCTGCTTGTTGTTGAACCCATGCATGTTGTTTCACCGCTCGGCTCAAAATTGATATCTCAACCGCAGAACGTCGCTGCAACAAACGGGTGCCTTTTCCCCTTCGACTCAATGCCCATTGAATCTGTCCGTTGACAATTTCAACAGCATCAGATGTCAACGGGCTCCAGATACTGATTTCCACCAGAAACTCTTGTATTTCTGTGATCTTCTCAATGTCGGTTTGCGTCGGAGGAATGGAAAAATTGCAAGAGTATTTGCGCAAAATTGGTGTTGTAAATTCTGCATCGACACAGCACTCGCAATCCAAGAACCTTTGGCGGATATTGTTCCAAACTGTTGCAAATGTTGCCGGGTCAGCATCAGCAAGCCTCAGCACCGTAAAGGGTGGCACCATGAACTCTTGGACCATACGCCTGTGTAAGTCCGTCATGCAAGACACCACCAACTGAAAGATCAAGTTGAGTTGAGATTGTGTTCCATCCAGCCCCATTCCAACACTTTCTTGAAATCCGTTTTTCAGGAAGTCTCTATAGTCAGAAATGAGCTCTTGACCGAGCTCTCCTCGGATCACCTTCAAGAACCCTTTGCTGGACTCTGCCTTGTGTTCTTCATGCTCTGGATTTGCGTGGCTAAAATATGAAAGGTCATTCAAAATTGATGTCCTGCGCAAAAAGAAATTGAATCCTCGTTCCATCCGCTGAACCAAGGCATCAATCAAAATAGAAGACTGGTGAAAAGCAGGTTGGCTGATCTCCTTCTGAACCATCTGGCACCTTGCTCCATTTTGCGCTGCGAAACTTGTGTCCTCATCCAAAAGCTTACCCACAAGAGCTTCAAACTCCGCAGGGCTCAGGTTTTTGTTTGACTCAGACTCCGAGCGTTTTTTGGGGTGTTCAGTCCCCAAAAGTGTATCGACAATGTTGCTCAAGTCGCTACCAGGGCGATCAGCTGGACTCAGAGCTTGTTTGTCTACATTCAATATGCGGGGAAGGATGCTGTGAAGGCAACATCCTACACGAATGAAAGAAGCGGCAGGGCCATAATGCTTCATCCTGTAAAGGAGTGGCACCGCATAGCCTTTCGTGAGAAAAGATGTCAATAATGATATGCCCTTGTTGAGAGATTCGGCATCGTCTTTGCAGCATGGCTTACCAGAAACACTGTTGGGAATACACCAGTGGACAAGTACATGGTCCGAAGTATCTCCATTGAAGAAATCCAAGATTTCTTTCAAAATTGAAACCGTGGTTTTGGAAGCTTGAAAGCCTTTCAGTAGCCAAGCTGACCGTTTCCTCCAAGTTTCCATCTCCTTGGGGAATTCCAGCACATGCATTCCTCAGATGCCGTGGCACCAGCTGGGGTCAGTGGTGGTCCATAGGCCATACATACATGCAGTTGGGTTGAAAGCACTTACATACGAAGAAACACCCGACATATACATCCCACATGTTTCACAAATTCATACCATACCCTGAATCAAAACACGCAACCAACTATACAGTGACACAGTCGCGCATCTTTCATTTGATACGTGAGAACCGTTTGAACCCGTACTCCGTATATATATATATATATATATGATTCCATATGCCGAATGAATGATCGTAAAATATCATCAAAGAATCGAGCTATATATGATGCTAAAACCACATTTAGGCAGTGATTGTCATTGTACAACACTGCGCAACGTAATATGAAATAGATAGACAGTCGAGTCGTCGTCTACATTAGGCACTAGATTCGGGAATAATCATGGACCAAAACTCAGGTACCTAAGTTGATTCAAAACTACTGTGACAAAGCATATTTCATATGGTATGGAGGCAGCCATAATTTACCAACTATGAGTTATAGGCAGCCACCCGAAGTGTTTCGTTTGAACATGGGGCCGTCAAACAAACGATCAAACACATGTAACCGGTGAACAGATGATGCAACCCTACAAGCGTCATATTGAATACACCCCAGATACTCATGGCTGGGTATTGGAGTGATTTGTTTGGTGATTTCGGTATGCGCTCCCAGGTCTTCTGTCCCTTGCAGTTTTATCTACTTCATCATGATGCTTTCTGGAACGGGTTGCCTAAAATGACGACCTTATAGCAATTAGGAGGCCCAAAGAAGTAACCCTGAACCTAGTGCTGAAGCAAACATTCTTCCTGAAAGAAGCAAAGTGTGACTCTTGAAACCTCGGAAAATTCTTTCAGCTTGGGGTCTATATTTGGATACCCGGGCCAAGTCAAAAAAAACAGTTTCCCAAAATGAGTTTGGTTTTAATGCGACGTGCGTGCTGTATGCATGTATTAGTAAGTATTAGTAAAGTGTATGTTCATTTGCTACATGTACGCATGCGTGCCGGTATGAATGATGTATGCATGTATGCATGTATGCATGTATGCATATATGCACGTACCGTATGTACATACGTACGTGCGTACGTAGGTATGTCTGTCTGTATGTATGTATGTACGTACGTATGTATGTCATATCATGTCATGTCATGTCAAGTCATGTCATGTATGTATGTCATGTCTGTCATGTATGTCATGCCTGTCATGTCTGTCATGTATGTCATGTATGTCATGTCAGGCACGCATGCATGCATGTATGTATGTAACGTATGTAAATAACTAAGTAAGTTTGTAAGTAAGTAAGTAAGTATGTATGTATGTGTGTATGTATGTATGTATGTATGTATGCATGCATGCATGCATGCATGCATGTATGTATGTATGTATGTATGTGTATGTGTGTTTGTAAAATTGTATGTACAGTATGATATATATATATATGATATGTGTGTGTGAAAATTAATTTTGAAAACTGAAGGTTACAACAGCAAGGACAAGGGGCCCTGGAAAGTTCCAGCAGTCCCAAGCAAAGTCACTACCCCGGCCGCAATTCGTCTTCGAAAACTTGCGCTCTCATAGAGATGCGCAAGGCGCACCAGTGTAGACCAGAATCTTTCGACCCCAAGAACACATGGTTTGCGAATTAAACCCAACTGGTGATTGCAGCATTTTATACGTAGGGCGGCTTGATTGCAACATACCCCAGCTCTGTGTTTGCTGGCCAAGTACCGTCTTTCAACATGAAACGCAGGACTGTTGGCCTCAAGGGCATCCCCGCACATAATTTGAATGGCCCATCGAGCATTTTCTAGTGAAGGAGTGGTTTGAGGCAGACCAAGAGATTGCAATTTCCGGCCCATACCCCGAGCGCCAGAAATCAAATACGATGTGTAAGCTTCGTGGAGGTTCACCGCATCTGGCGTGTTCAGGATTGTCGTTGGACAAGGAATTGCCAAGCAGTCCCACTTGGAAGAGCCATCTTCACCATCATATGTGACAATACAATTTTGAACTTGATTCATTACTGTGCAACAAATACTTGGGTCCGCCTTGTTTGGGCCCTTCATACGGGTGTTGGTGTCGTCAGGCATAATGGTATTGATCACATATTTTGCGTTCTTTCCCTCAGAACAGTTGATCAGCAAGAGGCCTTCCAAAAACCGCGCTAAACAGCACAATAAGCTCCAGGTGCAACGTGACCTGGCACGTGAAACCCGTTTATCAACATTCTCGGACAAGACTTCATACCCCTGAGCAATTGTAGAGGCATAGTGTACACGGGGCGTCAAATACATCTGTTGGATTTCTTTGAGAACTTCACCAGGAACCCCGTTGACTTGGACGGAAGCAGAACTCCTTGCAGTCTCATACCTCTTGGCTGTCTTAGACACCAAGGATGCATTTCTAGCTTTTTGGGTTTGCTTCAAACGCTTAAATTCAAGCATTGAGTCTGGGTTTTGTATCCGCATCGGAACGTCCTCACCGACAGGTTCATCTGCGAAGAACTTGCTCAACGGCATGGCTTCACTCTTGCGCCATGTGTTAGCCAAGTGAGTTTGTTGCCTGACATCAATTGGCATTTTGACACTACTGACTACAAAATCAAATCTGAAAAGATTTTGACCCAGGAGTCCTGGGTGGTTAAACAACAAAAGCAAAGTAACAACCATATATTCAAACATCGACTCATTTTCTCAGGTTCCCGACCTGGATGTCGTAATGAAAAATTGGAACCGCAAATTGTACTACAGCTACTGTTTCGGCTAGTTCTGTGATTTCGACACGTTTGGCTCAGCTTCCCTGAAAAGTGAACCACTGGCTGGTTCAGCAAAATGGATTTTGATAAAAGCGATTTTGGGGGCTACAATTTGGGCTAGCTCATAGTCAGTTTCCGCTTTGCTTGGATCCCTTGGATGTGTTAACTTAACCCTCTTTGCTGACATGGGTTACCAGCCAGCCAGCTATTGCTCCATCCGCTACCAGCTTTCACAACAGGTGCTGGTTTTGGATTTAAAATCAACTACATACCGTAATTCTCGGGCCGATAACATTATATATTATATATATTCCGTCCATCATTTCTCTGATGATACCTGAAGCAGGATTGCCGCTCTGTAGTTGCAAGTTACAGGTTGTAAAGAAGCTATTTGCCTATGGAATCCCCGTAGGAACCACTAAACCTTGACATGGAATCCCCGTAGGAACCACTAAACCTTGACCCAGTGGTTGGACCCTGGTTCAACATAACAATCGCTTGCCTTCCGAGGCTGTGTGGTGAATCAAATCATGAACAAGAAACTATATGAACGTTGGGACATCGAGTGTCTTGAGGCTTTAGCTGATGATAATTTGCGGAAAGGAAATGGATCCATTTTTTTCTGGAGAGAACGGAATGGTTGATGTTTGTACAGGTCACTGTGACGTGCTTGGCCTGAGGATTGGTGAGCTTCGACCAAAAGCCCTTTTATCTGGCCTTGTACTCCTTGAAGAAGTCACCATTGCTGCCAGATGGGAAAGGTCTGTAGATACCCATCACCTGCGTCGTATATAGGAACAGAGGATTCCCAAATCGGCTGTAAATGACAGAGCGCGCATGTCTTCCACACAGCTTGAATGCGTGTCACGGAAAGCTACTTTGCATCACACTACCACATCGCCTCGGGTCTAGGTTACCTTACCTACAGCTTACCGACTCAATTGTTGGCGCTGGATTGCAAAGAAAGAAAGCCTTGCCAAAACAATAATGGGCAAAAAACCTACAACCTAGCCGTCAATGAGAAACTTTCAATATCAAAATAAATGTGATTCATACATACTCGTACCGAACCGGGATTCGATGATATTGATTTTCCCGATGTGCAGATCCGTACCACAGACCATACCATGAACATATCATTGTCTCCACGCCTGCTCCATCAGCACCACCCCTGGACGCCGATGTCCTTAGTATATACAGAAGCAGAGCGACGTATGTAATTCGATGATGTTATAGTAATGTATCATTTATTTTGCAAAGTTTCGAAGTAGGGGCGCCCCAAGCTTTAGATCTTTTATGTATTTCGGATTAGAAAAATATAAGTTAGTTATAAGATATAAGTTGGTATAGAAGATATGGATATTGCGGCGCCCGTGCTTTGAGACACCCCCATGTGTGCCAGCTAGTTATGTAGGATTCGTCTCTGTATTTGGTATCATTTCGAATGTTTTAGTCGGCATGACACGATTGAGAGAAAACCTCCTATGATATATTGACTGTTGCGAACCACACGAACAGGTTGCATCACATCTGCACTGGACCGATTGTACTGGCACCGGAGAACTGAATCAGCGAGTTTACCAAAAAGGGTGGAGCCACCGACAATTCAAATTAGTTGTGTTTCTTTCCAGATAGCCAAGGTTCTGATATGCCGGGATCCATTGAGAAATGGAATCGCATCAGCGCATTGGAAGGGATTGTAGTTGATGCTCTTCTTCTTCGCCCGGTTTCCATTTAAAATGGAATAAGGGCAACACGGTGGCCCGAATGCGAAAATTTCCTCACAGGGGTCATGAGGTATAAAATGCATGGTTTCGATCTGAGACATGGTGTTCTACTATATACTACGACTATACTACTATATACTACTACATACTACATACTACATACTACAAAATACATACTACATACTACATACAACCTACAATATACTACATACTACATACTACATACTACGACTACTACTACGACTACTACTACTACTACTACGACTACTACTACGACTACTACTACGACTACTACTACGACTACGACTACGACTACGACTACTACTACGACTACTACTACTACTACTACTACTACCACCACCACCACCACCACCACCACCACCACCCCTACCCCTACCCCTACCCCTACCGCTACCGCTACCGCGACCGCTACCCCTACCCCTACCCCTACCCCTACCGCTACCGCTACCGCGACCGCTACCCCTACCGCTACCACTAC